TGTGTGTGTGTGTGTGTGTTTGAGAAACTAAACCTCTGAACCTCGTGCCTTATCGTTAACAGAAAGGTAACACTATGTTTAAGGGCAAACGTACCTGAACTTAGCTTTACAAAACTGTAGAACCTTCATTATTTCTATGTTTTTCTTACTTTTTTAAAGGAAACACAAAACACGGCAGTGATATTTTCCAACAGCTGTTACGGTACCGTTCCGTCAAATTAATGTAAGTACAAAGTGATGCAGAAAAAAAGTAACTCTCTTATCATGGCTCACCTCAAAAGCGAAGCCGTCTGGCCAGCCTTTGATGAGATGGTACAATAATAGGATTGAAATATTTTACAATATTTAAAAACAAAACTTATTCCTGTCAGTCTAATTGATTCACGAATCAACAAAGCCAGCCAAGCTCTCGGTAGACTGAAAAAAACCCCAAGATGCCAAACTAGCACAATTTCCGGCTGTCAACAAAAATCAAAGTGTACAAACCCGTTGTGCTCTCCTCCCTCCTCTATTGATCGGAGACTCTACAGGAAGCACATCAACAAATTACGGAAGTTTCACCAAAGGGCTCTCCGCAGCATACTTGACATCCGGTGGAAAGACCGCATCACCAACATAGAGGTCCTCAACAGATCAAGCCAACAAAGCAGAGAAAGCATGCTTGCAAAAAAGCCCAAATGAGATGGGTCGGCCATGTCATCCGCATGGAAGACCACTGAATGCCCTAACAACTGCTGTATGGTGAACTCGCAAGCGGCAAAAGAAATCTCGGGAGGCCAAAAAAAAGCGGTTCAAAGACACGATAAAGGCAAACCTCCAGTTTGCACAGGTTACCCCCAAAAAACTCGAAAGAACTGCCTCCGAAAGGAACGCCGTGCGCGAGGCCGTCCGTCTTACCAGCAGAAACAGCGATATCAACTACAAGGAGAAGCTGACTATCAGAAGAGAGAGGAGACATAATCCAACCACCTCAATCACGACATTTCTGAGACCCCACTGCAACAGACATTGTAAATCTAAGATCGGATTGCACAGCCACATGCGCGTCCTCAGATGAGCTGCAGGATTTCATCGTCATCTTCAGCAACGAAGGACTACCAAGACTGTCAGTCTGTAATTATGTGTAAAAAAAAAGGTACATTTGTGAACCGCTTGAAAAGAGGTAAAGCATACTACAGTGAGAGGATGAAAGGATAAGTATTCCATTAAAATGTTAAAACTTTCAAAACTCATTTTTCGAAAGTCTGCAACGCGTGTCCCAATAGGGCACATTCTGAAACAGCGGGGAGGCAAAAGATGAAATTCGATCTACTTACAGGTAAGATACAGTGAATTGATAAGGATGTAAAGGATTAATTGAAGAGTTTTTAAAAACAACTTTCTAACGCAATGTTTTAGATGTACAATGCATGTGTGTCCACTTTTTAAGGCATAGTTGTAAATCTCTTGAAAAGTGGACACGCAAAGAATTGAGTCTGATAATTATAACGCATTGTTACAATACAGCAGTGAGTGAATTAGATGATACAATTTTGATTACAATGTTTTAAAAATATCTAAATCTCTTTTGTTCTGTAAGTCAGCTAGGAACATGTCCAAATATACTAACGACCTTACAGCATGCATCAAAATAACATTGAGTGTGTATCTAGCTTACGATTATTATTGTTTATTTTGCTGCTCATTTATATTATGCGTGTGATTGTAAGCCTAGGTGTGTGTGCGAGTGTGCATGAGTGTGCGTGTGTGCGTGTGTGCGTGTGTGCGTGTGTGCGTGTGTGCGTGTGTGTGTGTGTGTGTGTGTGTGTGTGTGTGTGTGTGTGCGTGTGTATGTGTGTGTGTGTGTACACACGTGGTGAAACACCAAACCAATGTGCCAGGCTTAAATAATAAGGAACATTCCAGATAGTTGAAAAGCGTGCAGGCAAAGGAATAAGGCCTATAGAACTTACAGTGTTACATAATACAGGGAGTGATATAGACGAAAGAATTCAGTTGAAACGTTTTCGAAATTTAAAAAATATATTTTGAATAAATTGGTGACTTGAAAAGACCATATGATTTTTAAAAGATGCTTTTTTAACTGCGCCCAAGCACAGAAGAGGCAGCAAATGTTCTTGCCGATGACGGTTTGAAACCTGACACAACAGGAAGAAAGAAGGAACTTCTCTGTTATTGGTTTACAACGCATGTGTCCGAGTATGGCACATTCGTAAACCATTTGAAAAGCGGCAGGCAAAGGATTAAGGCCCACCTAACTCACAGTTATATTACAGTGAGTGGGGGATCGCATTAGACGCTGGTGGTAAATGGAGCGCACAGGTCACAACAGCGAGCCAAAACTGACCACGATTAACCTTCTTGGGGTTGTTAGCTTTGCGAGAAGGCCAGTACTATAACATGTTACAGAAGCCCAGATAATTATAACCTTTGCATGAATGCGTCTGAACAAAATTTTAACCCTTTCTACGTTGAATCTTTGCTTTCAA